CGTGCAGTCGCTCCTTCGCCAGGATCACGGGTTGGCACGCCGACCCCCGGTGCGGCCCATCACACCTGTGCACGGCAACAGCCTCCATCGCACCTTCCTGCATGCTCCGCCTAAAGAGTTCGGCATCCACCTGCCTCACCCGGCGCCAGTCATACGTCGATGCCTGCCCCTTCTTCCGCCCTCTCGGCTGCATGTACATGTCCACATCGTACACGCGCTTGCATAGGGTCGAGACCCAGCTCGCCCTCGCCCTGTCCTTCCCGAACAGCACCATCATGCCACAGCACCTCTCGCGCCCGCTGCTACCTCAGCACTCACCCACCCAGTGGGTTCAGTCTTCCTCCGGAAATACTCACAAGCCACCGTCGTACTGCGCCGTGTCAATAAAGGTCCTCGCCGACCACAGTCCGTCTCGATCCCCTCCAAGCCCATCTTGGACGAAAGGAGCATGTCCCCGCCTGCTCCCAGCACCGCATATATACTCGCGTGTTCGGCCATCCTGGCTAGTCGTCCCTTTGTTGTTTCTCCCCGAGAAAGAGAAGGAAGAAAGAGAACTCCTTTGCTCTGTTCTTGGAAGGGCCCCAGCCCTTCCTTTGTACTTCCAAGGAATGTGCGGATTGTGTGCACGCACACTAATCCTTTTTCGGTGTTCGAACTGGGCCAGCAGGCCCACTTCTCATTGGGTAGCGAGGTAGGTCCAAGGACCCACTCTCGTCAACGGTCAACGCCCATCTTACAAGTGAATCATACAGAGCTCGCACCAAATGCTCGCTAGATGGGCGTTCTGATTCGCTCAAATCGCGAAATATTCCCTGTCGTATCCACTTTGGTCAACGAACTTCGTTGACGACGACCCCTTGGCTCGCCGTCGCCTCGTCCGTCTGTTGGTCACGCGCCATGCCACCTTCGGCGTCAGCCACGCTCCCAGCTTCCAGCGTTGTTGTTGCATAGCCATGGTGTTTCTACTAGTAGTAACAATATGATTTCATCATTGCTCTTCGAGGTGAGCGCCAGGGTCCTGCGGACCACGGCACAGGGGGCTTCCCCCTGTAACCCCCTTCTTTCCGGAATAGAAGTACCTCTTTTTGACAGCATGCAGTCAAAGTAATAAAGGCATGCTCTAGGGCACGCATCTCTGGATTTTTGAAGCCACCACAGGTGACTGTTTGAGTCATCTCACGATATTCTCTGGTGGTTAGTACACCACTGCACACGTTAATTGTTCCACAAAAGAAAACCCTTTCACACTCGTCCCACAGCTGTTATGAGAACGCAATCGCACATCACTGGTCCCAATAGGTCCCACCGCACGATAGAGAACGCCCCGGTCTCTTACAAGAAGAGTATCTCGGATACAAAGGGTAATACCTATAACAATGCACCAGACGGACATCCATATCCTAGCAGGACTGGGAAAGCCCCAGCTACTTCTCCGCGACAGTACAATGTACCGCACCTCCCCGTGGAGTGCAGTCCAGCAGCAGAAGAGACAGGAAGAAGAACCGACCTCCCCTCCCGGTTGGCCAGTGAGACCACAAGAGCGTCCCAGCGCTCGTGAAGGGAAGACGCCTCAGCCCCCGCACGTGGCTGATCAAGACTGCCTCAGCAAATAACCACCTCCTCCCGAGGACAAGACAACCCGACACCTCCACGTCACATGTTCCGGATGTTCGGCGCATGACGGAACTGATCAAGCTCGTTAGCCTGTTACCCATAACAGAAACCGCCCCGGACGACACCACGGCAGGAACGCATACTCACCTCGCCAGAGTCGATGACAAGCATACCATCTCTCGTCACTCCCATTCCCGTACCCATGTCCCATACAGTCTGGAAACTCGGCCGCCAAGCCTCATGACTAGAAAACGCAACCGGACAGGTGCTCTGGTAGTACCACTCCATGGCTCGGCCAGCAGTAGCCTGCTTGATAACGCACGTGCATGTGCTAGGAGGACAGCCCTTCGACTGATCTCCGCCAGATGAAACAGACGTATCCGTCATCGGATCCCTAGCGTGATCGCCAGCAAGAATGCCTACCAATGGTCAGTAGCCGACGCTGTCGCAACCCGTGCCCTCACACGGTCGCCCCCACGGGCCAACAAACACTCCAACGGCCGCCGCAACGGCCGCCACACCTGCGGCCACACCTAAAGACAGGGGGGGTTCCTCCGTCCTTCCACCAAATACCGCACACTCCGCTCACTCACAGATAATCGTCCCGTCACTATCGTCCTCCGGTCTGATATAGGCGCCACAGCGCTCTCGTGAAAAATACGCGCTTTCGTGATATTCTGGGAAGCTGTTCCCCAGCTACTCTGCCTAACAGTCCAAAGCCCTCCGGCTTTTTATGGCCAGCGCCCCAGCGCCAGAAAAAACTGCAACCCCTCTGCAGTCACCCTCCAGGCCCCGCCCATCGCCTCCCCCTCGGGCCAATCAGCCCCCGGCACATGGTCTCCGACCCACTCTCCGCGTTTCGCGCTAGCCAAGTCCGGGTTCCAGTGGCCACAGCCACCGTCCCCTTCAATAGTACGACTGTTCGCCCTTCGGCTCCCAGTCTATTAGGTAAGCGGTAGGGTCAGGACCCACCCGCGTCAACGGTCAACGCCCATCTTACAAGTGAATCATACAGAGCTCGCACCAAATGCTCGCTAGATGGGCGTTCTGATTCGTCCAAAGGCCAAATTATTCCCTGTCGTATCCACTTTGGTCAACGAACTTCGTTGACGACGACCCCTTGGCTCGCCGTCGCCTCGTCCGTCTGTTGGTCACGCGCCATGCCACCTTCGGCGTCAGCCACGCTCCCACACTCTGTGTTTGTTGTTGCATAGCCATGGTTTCTCTCTGTGAGTAGAAAATATGATTTCATCATTCACTCTCGTGTATTAAGCAGCGTCGCTACGCTCGAGCTGCACAGGGCTGCCGCCCCGTACCCCGCGGATCCGGAACTCTAGCCATCTTTTCCGACAGCATGCGGATTAAGTAGTGTAAGCATGTCTTAGCGACACGCATCTTCTAGTTTGAGGCCACACTTTCTCAGTGTTACTGCATCTCACGATTACTTTTGGTGTTCTCCACCACACATTCATTTCATTGCATCACTTCGTTCCATTCCTGGTTCTACTGATGACTTCATCCAATCGTCCCGATACTCCTGCTTCGCATAGCACGACTAACAGTCCTGCTCTACTCTCTCTTCATACTATTCCGCTACCCTGCAGCCACTAAGAGGATCCATCCACCATAGAGAATCCCTCTCACGCTGCGCACCAGACCTCGCTGAGGCGAAAGACACTCGTGACCCGACAAGGCAATGCACCGCGCACGCGCACATGCGACGACGCAGCAGAAGACCCCTTCCATCCTCGACGAGAGGTCAGCCTCTTGATGCCGTCCCGCCCAGAACAGCTACTCCGCCCTGTGGTACAATAGCCGAGTCAAGCTCGTCACAGCGTTCGCATACTGCTCACCAGGGTAGGCGCGCCAGAAGGTAAACTGCACCGCAAGGGAGTCGGCACCCGACACCGCCACCGCAGGCCTCGCGCTAATGATCCAAACACCGTCATCCTCGACAGAGCGTGCACGATGAACCTGCATGTCCATCGTCCAAACCTGAACAAAAGATGCGTCCCGCACATCCCCGAGACAATATCGCTGCTGCTGGATGAAATTATCCATGTCCACCCGGTGGATACCATCCGTCTTAGCAAAAAGACGGTGCCCATAGGCAAACCGGTGAAACGCACACGCGTGCAGTCGCTCCTTCGCCAGGATCACGGGTTGGCACGCCGACCCCCGGTGCGGCCCATCACACCTGTGCACGGCAACAGCCTCCATCGCACCTTCCTGCATGCTCCGCCTAAAGAGTTCGGCATCCACCTGCCTCACCCGGCGCCAGTCATACGTCGATGCCTGCCCCTTCTTCCGCCCTCTCGGCTGCATGTACATGTCCACATCGTACACGCGCTTGCATAGGGTCGAGACCCAGCTCGCCCTCGCCCTGTCCTTCCCGAACAGCACCATCATGCCACAGCACCTCTCGCGCCCGCTGCTACCTCAGCACTCACCCACCCAGTGGGTTCAGTCTTCCTCCGGAAATACTCACAAGCCACCGTCGTACTGCGCCGTGTCAATAAAGGTCCTCGCCGACCACAGTCCGTCTCGATCCCCTCCAAGCCCATCTTGGACGAAAGGAGCATGTCCCCGCCTGCTCCCAGCACCGCATATATACTCGCGTGTTCGGCCATCCTGGCTAGTCGTCCCTTTGTTGTTTCTCCCCGAGAAAGAGAAGGAAGAAAGAGAACTCCTTTGCTCTGTTCTTGGAAGGGCCCCAGCCCTTCCTTTGTACTTCCAAGGAATGTGCGGATTGTGTGCACGCACACTAATCCTTTTTCGGTGTTCGAACTGGGCCAGCAGGCCCACTTCTCATTGGGTAGCGAGGTAGGTCCAAGGACCCACTCTCGTCAACGGTCAACGCCCATCTTACAAGTGAATCATACAGAGCTCGCACCAAATGCTCGCTAGATGGGCGTTCTGATTCGCTCAAATCGCGAAATATTCCCTGTCGTATCCACTTTGGTCAACGAACTTCGTTGACGACGACCCCTTGGCTCGCCGTCGCCTCGTCCGTCTGTTGGTCACGCGCCATGCCACCTTCGGCGTCAGCCACGCTCCCAGCTTCCAGCGTTGTTGTTGCATAGCCATTATGTCTCTCTAGTAGTAGACAATATGATTTCATCATTTCACTTCCGTGTATTAAGCAGCGTCGCTACGCTCGAGCTGCACAGGGCTGCCGCCCCGTACCCCGCGGATCCGGAACTCTAGCTCTCTTTTTAAGGAATTTATCGGTACCAGACCGAAAGCATGCTTGAAGGCACGCATCTTGGATTGAATGAAGCTGCACCACTACGCTTCTGCACACATCTCACGATCTTTTCTGGTGGTTTAGTGCACCACACTTTTCCATCAATCACTTCGTTCTTCTACTGTTCCACGAGTACTCCTAGTATCTATCTCGATTACTCCGTTCACGACACAACATTTGTTCCACTCCCCATTCCACTTCTCACGCTTATCATTTCGATGCATCACTATGCTCACACACAGCCGCATCAGTCCTAGACATACCTCTGCCAAATGTTCCACAGTTACACTACTGTCTATGGTTACAAGTCCCACTGGCCTCTGCCAGACATACAGCCAACCAGGCATGCTACCTGTCCTCCATCAGGACGGCGTGTTCTCCGGTCCACTCCCAGGTCCCCCTCCATATGACCCCGGCGGGGCCAATGTCACTTCATGAGGATGTATAGTGCACGATCTGCCATGAACATCCACCAACGTCTCCTCCAGTCGCACAAGAACGGTACAGTCATCCTGTTCCTGCACCCGCACCATCGCGTACAGTGTCCAGCCATGTGGGTAGCCAATCCGGCACACCTCCAGAGTCGCAGTAGAAGCTTCCGCCTTCTTCTCCTGCCAGGCCAAGCTGGCTAGCGCCCGCACGCTCTCGCTAGAAACACAGGACTTCCAGACACGAGGCCCCCTAGGCCAGTAACACCTCAACGCACTCTTACCGTATCCCGGTGGCGGCACCAAGCCGCAAGTCTCCCCTGCCGGGCAAGAGGAAGCATCCTCGATCAACTCGTCCTTCAGACGACAACTGTCTAGCGCCTCACGTCGCCACGCTACCGCTGGCACAGCAACCTTCCTCAGTCCCTGTCGACAAGCTGAAAAGTTCCTCATCCTCTCCGAGTACAACACCCGCGCACCGCGCGACATCTCGCCGAACTTCGCCGCCGCAGCAGAACATCCCCAAGGGGGGCCCAATACCAACGACCGTCTCTCGCCATCGCCAGTCACCCGCGGCACAACCCGTGCAAACAGGGCCACACCCCGCGCAAGCTCCTCATGACCAGCCTCGCATCCAGCACTCGGCGGAGCCGACTTCCTCTCGGACTTCATCCTCCTGATGGAACGGAAACGCCGTTCCGATACCTGCCACTCACCTGCGTTCGTTCGTGTAGCTGCACGCAGTGCATCAGTAGGCTTGGTTCTTGGCCACAAGAACATAAGAAGAAAATCTCCCAAGGACATCCAAGGTAAGACAGCCTCCGTGCTGTCGTCCGTCCCGTCTTGTCGCGCTGCTGCTCCTCTCCGAGGAAAAGGAGGAGAGAAGTGGAAATCCTTTGCCATTCTCCAGGAGGGCACAGCCCTCCCTATGTATCTTCGAAAGTCGGGAGAAAGTGGCCCACTTTCATCCCAAAACAGTAGTCGAACTGGGCCACCAGGCCCCGTTCTCATAGGTCAAACTCTCGTGGAGCAGGCTCCACTCTCGTCAACGGTCAACGCCCATCTTACAAGTGAATCATACAGAGCGCCCATACAAATGGTCGCGAAGATGGGCTGTGATTCGTCCAATCGACGAAATATTCCCTGTCGTATCCACTTTGGTCAACGAACTTCGTTGACGACGACCCCTTGGCTCGCCGTCGCCTCGTCCGTCTGTTGGTCACGCGCCATGCCACCTTCGGCGTCAGCCACGCTCCCAGCTTCCAGCGTTGTTGTTGCATAGCCATTATGTCTCTCTAGTAGTAGACAATATGATTTCATCATTTCACTTCCGTGTATTAAGCAGCGTCGCTACGCTCGAGCTGCACAGGGCTGCCGCCCCGTACCCCGCCGATCCGGAACTCTAGCCATCTTTTCTGACAGCATGCGGATTAAGTAATAAAAGCATGTTTTAGGACATGCATCGGCACAGCCAAGTGGACTACCCCACTTTTGAAGCTCCACAACCATTGTGTTTCGCACATCTCACGATATTCTCTGGTGTTTTGTTCTACTCTAACCCATTTCATTTCAATCACTCCGCTCCTCTAGTTGTTCTACCTGTTCACTCATCTCATTTCCTGTAGTTCATTTCACTGCTTCATTCCATTCATCATCGTAGTCACTCCGTCGTATTGATCCTATCACTGCACAGTCTACAAGGGAAAACAGATCCTCCGATACAGGCACACGATGCCAGCTTCCGCCAGGCCAACAGGTACCGCATCCCTTCTGCTCAACGAGCTCCGCCCACACATCTATCCACCGCTTCCTGCTGTCGTGCATCCTCCACCTGCTACGGTCCACAAACGGACAACACACTCCCGTCCTCCCACAAGGTCAGAGGGGACACACACCACCATCGAGTGAAGAAGGGAACACTGCCAGTGAACATAACCGCTAGCCCTGCCGGGCAAGCGACTGCTCTGCTCTCCGCTGCATCGCATCTCGAATCATCGGGTGCCGCCACTCATAGCTCACGCCCTCCGTGTCGAAAAAGTCGTCCAACTCCTTCTCGGTCAGCCTCCATGCAGACCCAAGCTGCCGCCCACAAACATAAGGTATCCCCTCCGGACGTCGGCCAGGCACTAGGCAAACCTCATACCCACCTCGCGTGGCAACCAGCTCCGCTACCAGACACAGAGCACCCCGCTGCTGTACCATCTGCTCCAGAAGAACGTTCTGCGCCTCGCCAGCCAAAGCAAGCGAGGACCTACCCGGCTCCACCCCGACGAGAACACTCGTCAGCGCACTCCACAGCTCCAGCTGCTGCCCCTGCGGGACAACCACCGTGTGAGGACAACCCTCCAACGCGTCCAACAAGGACGGCGTGGCAAGGAAGGGAATCACCTCGTATCCACGAAACTGCCTCTGCTCCCATCGGATCTTCTCCATCCTGGACAACAACGCCGCGCGGTTCCATCCTCGCGTCAAACGCTTCTCCAGCGGCACCATCTGCACATCGGGACAGTACCGTCCCCTCTGCTCCTCCGGCATCTCTGCCAAGATCAGGGCCCACGCTGCGTGGGACCATACCACCCAGACCTCCGTCTGTCTCTCCGGCTCCCCCATCTCTGCCCTGTCGTGCATCGCCTGCATCCTCTCCTCTGTCGCGTACTATCGTCCCTGACTTCCCGTAAAAGGAAGTAAAGTAACAACTCACCTCCGTTGGTTGTCTCGTCCCTGCTGTCGCTCCGCTATCGTTTCCCCCGGGGAAATGAAGAGGAAGAAAGAGAGATCCTCTGCTCCTTCTGGGAAGGGTGCACACCCTTCCTTTGTACTTTCCATGTGGGAGAAAGTGTGCCCACTTTCATCCCTTTTCGGTAACGGAACTGGGCCACCAGGCCCCGTTCCTATAGGTCAGCCAGTCGGGGTCCAAGGACCCACTCTGTCAACGGTCAACGCCCATCTTACAAGTGAATCATACAGAGCGCCCATACAAATGGTCGCGAAGATGGGCTGTGATTCGTCCAATCGACGAAATATTCCCTGTCGTATCCACTTTGGTCAACGAACTTCGTTGACGACGACCCCTTGGCTCGCCGTCGCCTCGTCCGTCTGTTGGTCACGCGCCATGCCACCTTCGGCGTCAGCCACGCTCCCAGCTTCCAGCGTTGTTGTTGCATAGCCATTATGTCTCTCTAGTAGTAGACAATATGATTTCATCATTTCACTTCCGTGTATTAAGCAGCGTCGCTACGCTCGAGCTGCACAGGGCTGCCGCCCCGTACCCCGCCGATCCGGAACTCTAGCTCTCTTTTTAAGGAATTTATCGGTACCAGACCGAAAGCATGCTTGAAGGCACGCATCTCTAGTTTTGAGGTTGTACTCTCGTACTGTTTATCTAATCTCACGATACTTTTTTGGAGTTTCACACATCTCTCATTCCATTTCAATTCATTGCATCACTCCGCTCAGTTCATTTGTTCCAATCCTCTACTCGTTCATTTCATCTCACGATTTATCCCAAAGGTCATTCCATTCCTGCACTATTACACTACGTGGTTCTACACCGCCCACGCTTCCAGATGTCGCCATGCTACGATACGGGCAAAGCACCTCATGCAAACCGAGAGTAGTACGCTTCACGACACCGCTTGTAACGCAACAGCTCCTCCCGAGACTGAGAAGGGAGACGAGAAAGACTCTGTGCAAGAGCAACCTCCGGAATAGCCGTCACACAATAACACGGCCTCACATCCGTGCAGCAAAGCTGTCCGCGCCACCGCGTAGACACATCCGTGCGACTGAGAACGTCCCCGCCCAGCAGAGCGGGACTACCAAGACTCATCAGCCAGTCATCCACCCAGGATGACACAGCCCGAACACCGGCCACACCGGTCAACCTGCTAATGTGCCTGGCCACATAGGCCGAGGCAAAGAGGCTGCCAGCAGCCCACTGCGTCCTGGTCCCATACCTCCGTAACACCTCGAGATGCGAGTCAAAGCTCGCACCAACGCTAAAGGAGTGACAGGTGCACTTGCACCATGCAACCCAGTCAACATCCCGCGGCACAAACCGCGAGGCATACATGAAGAACAACTCTTGTCCTTCCCACCGGAGACCACTCCGTAATGGCACCCGGCTCGCGGCCACACTCGCCAGCTCAAACATCGTCATAGGAACTCCCTGTCCATCTAGTTCTCCCTCCAAGAGAACCCCCCGCACGGGGAAGTCAAACTCCTCGCACCACCGGAGCAAGGCCTGTGTGAACGTCCGCTCCACTACCTCAAGCGAGTGCTCATGGCCTCGAGGCCTGTTCCCGTCCCGGACCTGACAAATCGTCTCCTCCATCAACGCAAACCATCGGGTACTCCCCGTCTCCCGATCGATCTCTCCGTACGACTGGGAATAAAGGACCGCCCTCGGCAGTCCCAAGAAGTAGATCCTCTCCAAGGATGGCCTGCTGCCATCACTCTCGTCCTTCGTCCACTCACACGTATATTTCGTAATCTGGCCCCCCGGGCCATGATCACCAACTGCTCCCATCCTCCGTGATTTCCAAGGGAAAAAAGGAAAAGCACAACCTCCCGTTATTGTCTCGTCCCGTCTGTCGCTCCGCGGTTTTGCCACAGCAAAAGTGTGGGAGAAGGAAAGAAATCCTTTGCATCCTTCCCTGCGAGAAGGGGGCAAGCCCCTTCTCTTGTACTTTCAAGGTTGGTCCAAACTGACCCAGTTTGTCCCGATTAGGTAACGGATTGTGGCCAGCAGGCCACATCCTCATAGGTCAAACAGGTAGGTCCGAAGGACCCACTCTGTCAACGGTCAACGCCCATCTTACAAGTGAATCATACAGAGCTCGCACCAAATGCTCGCTAGATGGGCGTTCTGATTCGTCCAAAGGCCAAATTATTCCCTGTCGTATCCACTTTGGTCAACGAACTTCGTTGACGACGACCCCTTGGCTCGCCGTCGCCTCGTCCGTCTGTTGGTCACGCGCCATGCCACCTTCGGCGTCAGCCACGCTCCCACACTCTGTGTTTGTTGTTGCATAGCCATGGTTTCTCTCTGTGAGTAGAAAATATGATTTCATCATTCACTCTCGTGTATTAAGCAGCGTCGCTACGCTCGAGCTGCACAGGGCTGCCGCCCCGTACCCCGCCGATCCGGAACTCTAGCCATCTTTTCTGACAGCATGCGGATTAAGTAATAAAAGCATGTTTTAGGACATGCATCGGCACAGCCAAGTGGACTACCCCACTTTTGAAGCTCCACAACCATTGTGTTTCGCACATCTCACGATATTCTCTGGTGTTTTGTTCTACTCTAACCCATTTCATTTCAATCACTCCGCTCCTCTAGTTGTTCTACCTGTTCACTCATCTCATTTCCTGTAGTTCATTTCACTGCTTCATTCCATTCATCATCGTAGTCACTCCGTCGTATTGATCCTATCACTGCACAGTCTACAAGGGAAAACAGATCCTCCGATACAGGCACACGATGCCAGCTTCCGCCAGGCCAACAGGTACCGCATCCCTTCTGCTCAACGAGCTCCGCCCACACATCTATCCACCGCTTCCTGCTGTCGTGCATCCTCCACCTGCTACGGTCCACAAACGGACAACACACTCCCGTCCTCCCACAAGGTCAGAGGGGACACACACCACCATCGAGTGAAGAAGGGAACACTGCCAGTGAACATAACCGCTAGCCCTGCCGGGCAAGCGACTGCTCTGCTCTCCGCTGCATCGCATCTCGAATCATCGGGTGCCGCCACTCATAGCTCACGCCCTCCGTGTCGAAAAAGTCGTCCAACTCCTTCTCGGTCAGCCTCCATGCAGACCCAAGCTGCCGCCCACAAACATAAGGTATCCCCTCCGGACGTCGGCCAGGCACTAGGCAAACCTCATACCCACCTCGCGTGGCAACCAGCTCCGCTACCAGACACAGAGCACCCCGCTGCTGTACCATCTGCTCCAGAAGAACGTTCTGCGCCTCGCCAGCCAAAGCAAGCGAGGACCTACCCGGCTCCACCCCGACGAGAACACTCGTCAGCGCACTCCACAGCTCCAGCTGCTGCCCCTGCGGGACAACCACCGTGTGAGGACAACCCTCCAACGCGTCCAACAAGGACGGCGTGGCAAGGAAGGGAATCACCTCGTATCCACGAAACTGCCTCTGCTCCCATCGGATCTTCTCCATCCTGGACAACAACGCCGCGCGGTTCCATCCTCGCGTCAAACGCTTCTCCAGCGGCACCATCTGCACATCGGGACAGTACCGTCCCCTCTGCTCCTCCGGCATCTCTGCCAAGATCAGGGCCCACGCTGCGTGGGACCATACCACCCAGACCTCCGTCTGTCTCTCCGGCTCCCCCATCTCTGCCCTGTCGTGCATCGCCTGCATCCTCTCCTCTGTCGCGTACTATCGTCCCTGACTTCCCGTAAAAGGAAGTAAAGTAACAACTCACCTCCGTTGGTTGTCTCGTCCCTGCTGTCGCTCCGCTATCGTTTCCCCCGGGGAAATGAAGAGGAAGAAAGAGAGATCCTCTGCTCCTTCTGGGAAGGGTGCACACCCTTCCTTTGTACTTTCCATGTGGGAGAAAGTGTGCCCACTTTCATCCCTTTTCGGTAACGGAACTGGGCCACCAGGCCCCGTTCCTATAGGTCAGCCAGTCGGGGTCCAAGGACCCACTCTGTCAACGGTCAACGCCCATCTTACAAGTGAATCATACAGAGCGCCCATACAAATGGTCGCGAAGATGGGCTGTGATTCGTCCAATCGACGAAATATTCCCTGTCGTATCCACTTTGGTCAACGAACTTCGTTGACGACGACCCCTTGGCTCGCCGTCGCCTCGTCCGTCTGTTGGTCACGCGCCATGCCACCTTCGGCGTCAGCCACGCTCCCACACTCTGTGTTTGTTGTTGCATAGCCATGGTTTCTCTTTGCAGTAGAAAATATGATTTCATCATTTTACTCTCGTAGTTATTCGCCACGTCGCTACGCTCGTGTGGCACAGGGCTGCCGCCCCGTACCCCGCGGTTCCGGAAAAGAAGTACCTCTTTTTAACATTACTAGCGGTAATCGTAGGGTAAAAGCATGCTTACACAGCACGCATGGTCCCGGGAGAAGCGAGGCACACTTGTTGGTGCCGTCGAAGGGGGTAGGAGCTTAGGGTTAGAAAAAAGGGAGCGCCCCAGCGCGACCCAGGGCCTCTAGAAAAGATACTCTCATCACTCTGTTTTACGTACATCACTCATTTCATTTCGTGGTTTGTTCTACCAGTTCATTCTATTCATTTCATTCATGGTTCTGTCTCTGTCTGTAGTCGGTGCATCTTCGCACCTGCTGGGTGGGGGAAGTGAGGCCCCACTGCACTAGTGTTGGAGTCATCTCGCGATGTTCTGTGGTGGTTCGTGCACCACCAGGGAAAGAAAGAAGAGAGATCAGCTCTCTCCCGTAGCACCTCGCGTCGCCAGGCGCACCCACTGCCTGCTACCCCGCAGCCTGGTCTACAAGGAAGGCACGTTCCACTGTGTTGGATACCATACTACAGTCTCCCCCATAGAGACTACCCAGCTTGGTAAGCTGCATCAGCACGTATGCCAGCTGAAAGACACCCAGGTCCTTGGCCGTCCCTCGCCACTGGAATAACTTCAGCTTCGGACAGGAACACCATCCGAGATTCCTGCTCGCCGAGCAATGGCTACCAAGACTCATCATGTACTCATCCACACTCCTCGTCGCATCCCTGATACGCCTCCAGCATGCACTCCGCAGCTCCTCGTTTACCGGCCCGGAACACTGCACTCCCCAGTGGAACACCTGCACCGGGGTCAGGCTCCCATCGCCTGCCATCTCCTCGGCTCGGATCTCCTCGACAGTAACTGCCACACAACAATCCCGGCACCAAGCCTCCAGGGCTTCTGACATCTCTGTGCCCATCGCTGCCCACTCCGTAGAGAGCTCCGCTCGATGTTTGTCGAAAATAGCCATAATCTTGCTCTGCAGTACACTCCCGCTCGGTCGCACAGTCCCCGGACGTACAACCCTCCTCATGTGAAGAGGAAGAAGAGGTCGAAGCCTCACCAGGCGCGCCACCCCCGTGGCCTGCTGCCCCTCCGTACCCGTCGTGGCCATCTCGTCTCACTGTCGTTCGTGTCGCCGATGCACGCAGTGCATCAGTAGGCTTGGTTCTTGGCCACAAGAACATAAGAAGAAAAAAATAGGAAGCCCCCAGGCTTCCGTCTGTCCTCTCGTCCCTCCTACTCACCTGTTCGTCCGTGCCCAAGGCACTGCTCTCCTGAGGGAGAAAAGAAGAAAAGTAAAGAACAACGATCCTCCTGTTGTTGCGTCCCTCCTGCCGTGTCCACTGTTTTCCTCCAGGAATGAAGGAAAAGAAGGAAAGAACTGCTCGACCCTCCCATTCTTCGAAGGGGCACCAGCCCCTTCTCTTGTAGTTTCAAAGTCGGGTGCAGTGTGCCCACTGCAACCCTAAAAGGGTAACGGATTGTGGCCAGCAGGCCACATCCTCATAGGTCAGCCAGTCGGGGTCCAAGGACCCACTCTGTCAACGGTCAACGCCCATCTTACAAGTGAATCATACAGAGCTCGCACCAAATGCTCGCTAGATGGGCGTTCTGATTCGCTCAAATCGCGAAATATTCCCTGTCGTATCCACTTTGGTCAACGAACTTCGTTGACGACGACCCCTTGGCTCGCCGTCGCCTCGTCCGTCTGTTGGTCACGCGCCATGCCACCTTCGGCGTCAGCCACGCTCCCACACTCTGTGTTTGTTGTTGCATATCCATGGTTTCTCTCTGTGAGTAGAAAATATGATTTCATCATTCACTCTCGTGTATTAAGCAGCGTCGCTACGCTCGAGCTGCACAGGGCTGCCGCCCCGTACCCCGCCGATCCGGAACTCTAGCCATCTTTTCTGACAGCATGCGGATTAAGTAATAAAAGCATGTTTTAGGACATGCATCTTCTAGTTTGAGGCCACACTTTCTCAGTGTTTATGTCATCTCACGATGATTCTTGGTGGTTACTCCACACTTTCACTCCATTCAATTGCTTGTTCCACACTTTCACTTCATTCATGGTTCACATCACGTTTCATCACGCTGTTTATGCAATATCTCTGGTTCTACACTCCGCCTCCATACTGGATTGTTCCACAACTTGTTCCATCGCACACGAGATGCGAAGAGGTCACAACCCGGTACAAAGCACCTCTCGCCAATTGGCTACGCGCACCTTGTCCAGCCACCGCTGGTGTTCATCTCAGCTAACGCCTGACGGAGAAGTCCGGTACTGCTGCCACAGCACCAACGAAAGATCTCTCTCGTCCGCCCCCGGCATGACAGAGATGAAGTCCCGGAGGTAGGGAGGCCCCAAGAGGCAAGGACAACACTCACGCTCCCCGACTCCGCACGAGGCCAGCTCCAGTACACGTCGCTGCTGGTCCATCCAGGAAAGAAACCCAAGACCCAAGGGTTTACATGCCTCCAAGCGCATCACCAAATGCTCCACTTCGCCAGCCATCAGGCTCAGACAGTCCACGCCAACTAGCTTGCCCAGCAGATGTACCGTATACGCCGTATACAGCAGACTCGCCAGAACCACGTCCCGATTCAGAGCGAAGCGCGACAGGTAAGCAAACACCAACTCACCTTGCGCCTCACTATCCTGGTGACACGTACACGTGCATCCAAGAGACCACTGCCTCTTAGGTCGGTCCATCAAATGTCGCACAGCGATCCAGTGCTTCGCACCGAGACGGTCCCTGTAGTAGCGTCCCGCACCAGCCCAGCCAACATGCACCAGCATGAGGCAGGACATGTCAAACGCAGACAACCTGTACAGCCCTCGTCCACAAGCCTCCGGGCGTCCATGACCTTCCAGCTCAATCCCAAACGTCTCCGCCCACGAGACCAGCGCACCTGTCAAGCTCCGCTCCAACCGTCCCAGGTCTACACTCTGGAGATCCGCACGCAGCTCCTCTCGCACCTCCCGTGCCAACCTCATCCAGCAGCTCTCCATCATCTCGCTGCTTCTTCCCGGGCCCGACAACAGGGCCACGGGTACACTCCTCACATGAGGAAAATACATTCGCTCCGGTGCCCCCCTCCGCTGTAGGCACTGCTCCTCCGGAGAAAGAAGGAAAGAAGAAGAAAGAAAATGCAACCGATCCTCCTGTTGTTGAGTCCCTCCTATCGCTCCACTGTGTTTCTCTCCGAGGAAAAAGAGGAAGAGAAATGAAATCCTTTGCCTTCTCTTGGGAAGGGTGCACACCCTTCCTTTGTACTTTCCATGTGGGAGAAAGTGTGCCCACTTTCATCCCTTTTCGGTAACGGAACTGGGCCACCAGGCCCCGTTCCTATAGGTCAGCCAGTCGGGGTCCAAGGACCCACTCTGTCAACGGTCAACGCCCATCTTACAAGTGAATCATACAGAGCTCGCACCAAATGCTCGCTAGATGGGCGTTCTGATTCGTCCAAAGGCCAAATTATTCCCTGTCGTATCCACTTTGGTCAACGAACTTCGTTGACGACGACCCCTTGGCTCGCCGTCGCCTCGTCCGTCTGTTGGTCACGCGCCATGCCACCTTCGGCGTCAGCCACGCTCCCACACTCTGTGTTTGTTGTTGCATAGCCATGGTTTCTCTCTGTGAGTAGAAAATATGATTTCATCATTCACTCTCGTAGTTATTCGCCACGTCGCTACGCTCGTGTGGCACAGGGCTGCCGCCCCGTACCCCGCCGATCCGGAACTCTAGCCATCTTTTCTGACAGCATGCGGATTAAGTAATAAAAGCATGTTTTAGGACATGCATCTCGCACAGCTTATGTGAAGTCAGCCACACACAGTGTTTCTCTAATCTCACGATTCTTCTTGGTGTTTCGCTCCAACACCATTTGATTGTTCCACACATCATTGCACTGCACTATCTGTTCATTTCATCTCACTCATGCTACCACGTCTACGACGGCTTGTAGGAGAACCCACAAACTGTTCTACATCATCGACAATCATCTCATCCTGTATCGCACGCTCCAGGGTCGCAAACGACGGCTCCTCCTCAAAGAGACACACGCATCTCCCCTGCCGTAACACGTCCCGCGTGCACTCGCGTACCAAGGCGGGGACAACCTCATCACCTCGGCGCAAATTCAGCCACAATGCTCGCGCCACCAGAGGAAAAGGCTGGACAATCCTGTCCGCGAAGACACACTCCGCAGCCCTCATATCCGTGCACTGCCGTATCCAATAGCCGACGAGATCCTCCTCATCTACCACGACCAGCTTGAACCCAAGCTTGGGACATTCTACATCCTCACGGCTAGGCCGTCCTGTGCGCAGCACATACTGCAAACGACGCACCCGCCCGGGCTGCTCCTCCAGGTCCTGCATCTCTTGACAACCCAACCTCGACGTCAGGGTGTGTATCAGGTGGCCAACATTGGTCCCACCACTGCACGGCTCAAAAGCCGCCTGCCAAGTCATAAGAATCGTGAGGAACTCCTCCCTCCTGCTCTGTCTCTCGCCGCAGTCGAACAGGCCGGCTACACAGCCACGTGTACCGTCCAACGCACTAAGAAAAGATCGGACATCCTCCTTCTCCATGAGCCCTGTCTCCGCCAGCCACTCCTCCACACAGGAGTAATAGTATCCAGCCTTCGTATACCTGTCACTAACGTCCAGCAGCCTCTGCATGTCCCCCACCGGGTCATCTTCCTGGGTATCCTCACCCAAGCGCCGCAACTCGTAAGCGACGCACTGTCGCCTAGCTCTCACCTCCGCATCCCATGCGACATCACTCACAACAGAGACATCCTCCTCCGATGCTGTCCTCATCTCTTCCAGCGGCCCCACGCCGGTCTCAGGCTCCTCCGTCCCATCTAACAGTCCTTCCTCCCAGGACGAGGAAGACGAAGAGGACCGAACACGCTCCTCCTCTCTGCTGCCCTGCATCATTGCAGACACCTCTTCGAGGATGCACACGTACTCCGTCTCCCCTTCTGCCGAAGGACAAGAAAAGGAAAATGAAAGGACAACGATCCTCTTGTTGTCGCACTCCGTAGTGTCGCTCTGCTTGCTGTTTTTCCGCCCGAAAAATAAAAAAGGAGGGAAGAATGAGCTCCGCTGCCTCTCCCTGGGGAGGGTGCACACCCTCCCTTTGTAGTTTGCCAAGTAGGCAGCAACTGACCCAGTTGCATGCCCAAAAGAGTAACGAAACTGGGCCACCAGCCCCGTTTCTGATAGGTGGAGCGGTAGGGTCCAGGGACCCACCCGCGTCAACGGTCAACGCCCATCTTACAAGTGAATCATACAGAGCTCGCACCAAATGCTCGCTAGATGGGCGTTCTGATTCGCTCAAATCGCGAAATATTCCCTGTCGTATCCACTTTGGTCAACGAACTTCGTTGACGACGACCCCTTGGCTCGCCGTCGCCTCGTCCGTCTGTTGGTCACGCGCCATGCCACCTTCGGCGTCAGCCACGCTCCCACACTCTGTGTTTGTTGTTGCATATCCATTATGTCTCTCTAGTAGTAGACAATATGATTTCATCATTTCACTTCCGTGTATTAAGCAGCGTCGCTACGCTCGAGCTGCACAGGGCTGCCGCCCCGTACCCCGCGGTTCCGGAAAGGAAGTACCTCTTTTTAACATTGTTTGCGGTACCAGACCGAAAGCATTCTTCAGCTGCACACATCTTCTAAGTTCATGTGGTACCAGACCACAAGACATCCTCATTTCATTGCCTTTTTAAATAAACTACACGTAACCTTTACTTGCACCACCGAATCCTCCGCATACTTACGCCAGACCTTCTTGCGCAAGGGATTGTTATCCTCATTGCAGGTCCAAATAACTGGCTTGCCCAATGCCAGACGAACAGTAGGTTTGAACTTATCCGTCCCGTTAAACCACCGCTGACAGCCAAGCATCTCGCGCGTGTACTTGAAATCCGCCAGGACTACGTCATTGAGCACAATGTGCGTGCAGTCTTCCCGCCAATCGTCTAGACGAAAGTTAGTGTTCACAATGAGGGGATTACCAAAGGACTCCGCCCATGCGGTCTTGCCAGTCCTAGTGGGCCCTGTCAGGACCAAGGCTTGGGGCCTCTCCGCCGCACCGTAAGGCTGGTCAATCCATTTCGCCTTCCACTCCAGCATGGCCTGCGGAATGTAGACGGGGTCAAAGTGAAAGACCGGTCCAACCGGGGGCAGAAATCGTCGCCTCTTCCTGTTGGCAAGCGCGCACGCCTGCGTGTGTCTCCAGACATAGTTCACCGGATCCCCCTCCGCCAGGATCTCGTGCACCTCCTCAGCCGTCTCGGCTTTGATGGCAGCTATGCACAGCTCTTCGCGCTTCCTCTTGGCTACCGCCCTGTCACCCACAGCCTCGATCTCCCGACCGAAAACGAAGTCCCACGACTCCTTCCTCACGTACGCCTGGGTCTTGTTCAGGAAGAACTCCAAGTTCTGCTCCTTGCGCATCACGCTAAGACGGACAGACCGAGTGTCTGGTCCAAGGCCATCCTCTGTCATGGCCAACAGCCGCAACTTCTCCCAAGGATCCCTCCAGTGAGGGGGCTTACCTAAAGCTACCACAACATGGTAATGGGGACGCCCGCTGGCGTGCAGCTCCCTAGAGCCGAAATACTGTACCCCAAAGTCTTCCAGCTGCGCATCAGGCTTGCTGGTGTAACACCTCCGGAGTGTTTCGCGAAAACGCTTCTCAAACTCAGACACATCCATGATCTGACTCTTGCTGTACGTCAGCATAAAATACTTCGTCCGAAGTATAAACACCTTCTCTCCATCCCGATCGTTCGGTCGAATGTCCGCCCACTCATCCTGAGCTGGATCAGGAACCTCGTCTTCCTCGTACGTCTGCACGACCACCTCGTGCCCCTCCGGCAAAACCACGGCGCACTCCTCCTGCACCTCCATCCTGCCTGCCGCTCCGCTTGCTGTTTTTCGTCCCGAGAAAAGAGAAAGACAAGAGAGAAATCCTTTGCCCTGCTTGTAGGGGGGCTCGAGCCCCCCTTTGTAGTTCCACGTGGGAGCCAGTGTGCCCACTGGACTCCCGATTAGGTAACGAAACTGGGCCACCAGCCCCGTTTCTGATAGGTGGAGCGGTAGGGTCCAGGGACCCACCCGCGTCAACGGTCAACGCCCATCTTACAAGTGAATCATACAGAGCTCGCACCAAATGCTCGCTAGATGGGCGTTCTGATTCGTCCAAAGGCCAAATTATTCCCTGTCGTATCCACTTTGGTCAACGAACTTCGTTGACGACGACCCCTTGGCTCGCCGTCGCCTCGTCCGTCTGTTGGTCACGCGCCATGCCACCTTCGGCGTCAGCCACGCTCCCACACTCTGTGTTTGTTGTTGCATAGCCATGGTTTCTCTCTGTGAGTAGAAAATATGATTTCATCATTCACTCTCGTAGTTATTCGCCACGTCGCTACGCTCGTGTGGCACAGGGCTGCCGCCCCGTACCCCGCCGATCCGGAACTCTAGCCATCTTTTCTGACAGCATGCGGATTAAGTAATAAAAGCATGTTTTAGGACATGCATCTCGCACAGCTTATGTGAAGTCAGCCACACACAGTGTTTCTCTAATCTCACGATTCTTCTTGGTGTTTCGCTCCAACACCATTTGATTGTTCCACACATCATTGCACTGCACTATCTGTTCATTTCATCTCACTCATGCTACCACGTCTACGACGGCTTGTAGGAGAACCCACAAACTGTTCTACATCATCGACAATCATCTCATCCTGTATCGCACGCTCCAGGGTCGCAAACGACGGCTCCTCCTCAAAGAGACACACGCATCTCCCCTGCCGTAACACGTCCCGCGTGCACTCGCGTACCAAGGCGGGGACAACCTCATCACCTCGGCGCAAATTCAGCCACAATGCTCGCGCCACCAGAGGAAAAGGCTGGACAATCCTGTCCGCGAAGACACACTCCGCAGCCCTCATATCCGTGCACTGCCGTATCCAATAGCCGACGAGATCCTCCTCATCTACCACGACCAGCTTGAACCCAAGCTTGGGACATTCTACATCCTCACGGCTAGGCCGTCCTGTGCGCAGCACATACTGCAAACGACGCACCCGCCCGGGCTGCTCCTCCAGGTCCTGCATCTCTTGACAACCCAACCTCGACGTCAGGGTGTGTATCAGGTGGCCAACATTGGTCCCACCACTGCACGGCTCAAAAGCCGCCTGCCAAGTCATAAGAATCGTGAGGAACTCCTCCCTCCTGCTCTGTCTCTCGCCGCAGTCGAACAGGCCGGCTACACAGCCACGTGTACCGTCCAACGCACTAAGAAAAGATCGGACATCCTCCTTCTCCATGAGCCCTGTCTCCGCCAGCCACTCCTCCACACAGGAGTAATAGTATCCAGCCTTCGTATACCTGTCACTAACGTCCAGCAGCCTCTGCATGTCCCCCACCGGGTCATCTTCCTGGGTATCCTCACCCAAGCGCCGCAACTCGTAAGCGACGCACTGTCGCCTAGCTCTCACCTCCGCATCCCATGCGACATCACTCACAACAGAGACATCCTCCTCCGATGCTGTCCTCATCTCTTCCAGCGGCCCCACGCCGGTCTCAGGCTCCTCCGTCCCATCTAACAGTCCTTCCTCCCAGGACGAGGAAGACGAAGAGGACCGAACACGCTCCTCCTCTCTGCTGCCCTGCATCATTGCAGACACCTCTTCGAGGATGCACACGTACTCCGTCTCCCCTTCTGCCGAAGGACAAGAAAAGGAAAATGAAAGGACAACGATCCTCTTGTTGTCGCACTCCGTAGTGTCGCTCTGCTTGCTGTTTTTCCGCCCGAAAAATAAAAAGGAGGGAAGAATGAGCTCCGCTGCCTCTCCCTGGGGAGGGTGCACACCCTCCCTTTGTAGTTTGCCAAGTAGGCAGCAACTGACCCAGTTGCATGCCCAAAAGAGTAACGAAACTGGGCCACCAGCCCCGTTTCTGATAGGTGGAGCGGTAGGGTCCAGGGACCCACCCGCGTCAACGGTCAACGCCCATCTTACAAGTGAATCATACAGAGCTCGCACCAAATGCTCGCTAGATGGGCGTTCTGATTCGCTCAAATCGCGAAATATTCCCTGTCGTATCCACTTTGGTCAACGAACTTCGTTGACGACGACCCCTTGGCTCGCCGTCGCCTCGTCCGTCTGTTGGTCACGCGCCATGCCACCTTCGGCGTCAGCCACGCTCCCAGCTTCCAGCGTTGTTGTTGCATAGCCATTATGTCTCTCTAGTAGTAGACAATATGATTTCATCATTTCACTTCCGTGTATTAAGCAGCGTCGCTACGCTCGAGCTGCACAGGGCTGCCGCCCCGTACCCCGCGGATCCGGAACTCTAGCTCTCTTTTTAAGGAATTTATCGGTACCAGACCGAAAGCATGCTTGAAGGCACGCATCTCTAGTTTTGAGGTTGTACTCTCGTACTGTTTATCTAATCTCACGATACTTTTTTGGAGTTTCACACATCTCTCATTCCATTTCAATTCATTGCATCACTCCGCTCTGCTGATTGTTCTACTGGTTACTGTATTCATTTCTTCCAGTGCACTCCTCCTACATGATCTACCACGACATTTCCAAGACCCTGTCGCACCACGCCGCGGTGAATTCTCGCTACTCGTCGAAGAAGCAAGCTATCTGTCAGCCAGCAATGGCAGTACACACGCTAGGGACGTAAAGAAGTACGAAAAGCCAGAAGAGAGCCCCCACTCTCCTGCTTGACACCTGCCGACCTGAGACACTCAGACGGTGAAGGGAGCGAGTCGAAGACGGGTAAGGCAACAAAATGCCCCTCGTTCCGCGAGTCTAAGAAGATACCATCTTCCAAGGTGGGTGAGCACATCCAGGCCCAGAGATCATCCTCCACCAGCTTCTCAGCGGTGCAGAAGGCTACAGCCACACTCGTGGTGTCCACCAACCGTCCATCATCAGCAATCGCAAAGCGCTTCCTGCGCTGCACACGAAAGAAATCGCACGCCGCACTATCCCCCAGGATCAGAGGCACCAGCATCCCCCGCTCCACCCGAGCGCGTGAGTACGCAGTAATCCAGGGAAACGGGAACTCCACCCCGTCTCCGTACACGCACACACACTCATCCGTGCTCCTCGCCCGGCTCATCTGGTAGGAAGTCAGCGACTCCGACGTCACCTCCAAGAGGTACACAACACTTCCGCGACCGCGCCCAGCGCGTTCAATCCTCCACCACGGCAGTCCATCTGCCCTCACCTCTCTCGTCGGTCGAGAATACCTGTGCGCACAACTCATGTGCTGCGTAATCCTACTCACCTGGCCCCCGGGCACTCGCCTGTCGTCTCCTCATCGAGACTACCACGGCGCACCAAGATCTCCATCTCTTCCCCCTTCGCACCGCTCGCAGGAAAGAAAGACGCACCAGCGACGCACGCATGCTCCGCCAGTAGCACCTCCCGTAACACCGCTCCGCTCCCTGAACTCAGGCCCAGGGACCTTTCCAACATCACATCCACGTTCCAGCGCGGATCCCTCCAGTCTCTCTCCATGTACTCCCGATGCACCGCATCGATAGAAAGCCTCGTGCGTGTCTCCAACCATGGATTCACTATCACCTCCGTCGACGCAGTCGAACACTGCTCCCAGTCCTCCATCCCCCTGTCGTGCACCCCGTGGGTATCGTCCCTCCTATTTTCGCCGAAAAAATGAAAAGGAAAGAAGAACTGTCGCACCCCGCCATCTTCTGGGAAGGGCCTCAGCCCTTCCTTTGTATCCAAGGAATGTGGGAGAAAGTGGCCCACTTTCGTCCCTTTTAGGTAACAGATATGGGCCAGCAGGCCCATCTCTGATAGGGTAGCAAGAGATGGAGCGAGGCTCCACTCTGTCAACGGTCAACGCCCATCTTACAAGTGAATCATACAGAGCTCGCACCAAATGCTCGCTAGATGGGCGTTCTGATTCGCTCAAATCGCGAAATATTCCCTGTCGTATCCACTTTGGTCAACGAACTTCGTTGACGACGACCCCTTGGCTCGCCGTCGCCTCGTCCGTCTGTTGGTCACGCGCCATGCCACCTTCGGCGTCAGCCACGCTCCCACACTCTGTGTTTGTTGTTGCATAGCCATGGTTTCTCTCTGTGAGTAGAAAATATGATTTCATCATTCACTCTCGTGTATTAAGCAGCGTCGCTACGCTCGAGCTGCACAGGGCTGCCGCCCCGTACCCCGCCGATCCGGAACTCTAGCCATCTTTTCTGACAGCATGCGGATTAAGTAATAAAAGCATGTTTTAGGACATGCATCGGCACAGCCAAGTGGACTACCCCACTTTTGAAGCTCCACAACCATTGTGTTTCGCACATCTCACGATATTCTCTGGTGTTTTGTTCTACTCTAACCCATTTCATTTCAATCACTCCGCTCCTCTAGTTGTTCTACCTGTTCACTCATCTCATTTCCTGTAGTTCATTTCACTGCTTCATTCCATTCATCATCGTAGTCACTCCGTCGTATTGATCCTATCACTGCACAGTCTACAAGGGAAAACAGATCCTCCGATACAGGCACACGATGCCAGCTTCCGCCAGGCCAACAGGTACCGCATCCCTTCTGCTCAACGAGCTCCGCCCACACATCTATCCACCGCTTCCTGCTGTCGTGCATCCTCCACCTGCTACGGTCCACAAACGGACAACACACTCCCGTCCTCCCACAAGGTCAGAGGGGACACACACCACCATCGAGTGAAGAAGGGAACACTGCCAGTGAACATAACCGCTAGCCCTGCCGGGCAAGCGACTGCTCTGCTCTCCGCTGCATCGCATCTCGAATCATCGGGTGCCGCCACTCATAGCTCACGCCCTCCGTGTCGAAAAAGTCGTCCAACTCCTTCTCGGTCAGCCTCCATGCAGACCCAAGCTGCCGCCCACAAACATAAGGTATCCCCTCCGGACGTCGGCCAGGCACTAGGCAAACCTCATACCCACCTCGCGTGGCAACCAGCTCCGCTACCAGACACAGAGCACCCCGCTGCTGTACCATCTGCTCCAGAAGAACGTTCTGCGCCTCGCCAGCCAAAGCAAGCGAGGACCTACCCGGCTCCACCCCGACGAGAACACTCGTCAGCGCACTCCACAGCTCCAGCTGCTGCCCCTGCGGGACAACCACCGTGTGAGGACAACCCTCCAACGCGTCCAACAAGGACGGCGTGGCAAGGAAGGGAATCACCTCGTATCCACGAAACTGCCTCTGCTCCCATCGGATCTTCTCCATCCTGGACAACAACGCCGCGCGGTTCCATCCTCGCGTCAAACGCTTCTCCAGCGGCACCATCTGCACATCGGGACAGTACCGTCCCCTCTGCTCCTCCGGCATCTCTGCCAAGATCAGGGCCCACGCTGCGTGGGACCATACCACCCAGACCTCCGTCTGTCTCTCCGGCTCCCCCATCTCTGCCCTGTCGTGCATCGCCTGCATCCTCTCCTCTGTCGCGTACTATCGTCCCTGACTTCCCGTAAAAGGAAGTAAAGTAACAACTCACCTCCGTTGGTTGTCTCGTCCCTGCTGTCGCTCCGCTATCGTTTCCCCCGGGGAAATGAAGAGGAAGAAAGAGAGATCCTCTGCTCCTTCTGGGAAGGGTGCACACCCTTCCTTTGTACTTTCCATGTGGGAGAAAGTGTGCCCACTTTCATCCCTTTTCGGTAACGGAACTGGGCCACCAGGCCCCGTTCCTATAGGTCAGCCAGTCGGGGTCCAAGGACCCACTCTGTCAACGGTCAACGCCCATCTTACAAGTGAATCATACAGAGCGCCCATACAAATGGTCGCGAAGATGGGCTGTGATTCGTCCAATCGACGAAATATTCCCTGTCGTATCCACTTTGGTCAACGAACTTCGTTGACGACGACCCCTTGGCTCGCCGTCGCCTCGTCCGTCTGTTGGTCACGCGCCATGCCACCTTCGGCGTCAGCCACGCTCCCAGCTTCCAGCGTTGTTGTTGTTATAGCCATATGTTCTACTAGTAGTAACAGCATTCATTCTTCATGTCTCTTCGAGTTATTCGCCACGGCTGCTGCGCAGCTAGTGGCACAGGGCTGCCGCCCCGTACCCCGCGGTTCCGGAAAAGAAGTACCTCTTTTTAAGGAATTTATCTGCACAAGCAGGGTAAAAGCATGTCTTAGGACACGCATCTTGTAGTTTTTGAAGCTCCACTTCACTAGTGTTTCACCATCTCACGATGTTTCTTGGTGTTTCACACATGTTTTCCATCACTCCGTTCATTGCTGGTTCTACTACTCATTTCATTCATTTGATTTCATCATTCGTTTCACGACACCGGATACCAGATCCGTTGGTCTACAATACGTACTACGCAGAGCTACTTCACAAATTATCCAGCTGACACTGATGCATCATACCATGAATAAGACTAAAGTCCCCCGCGGACTCCTCGTCCGACACAAGACCCAAGTCATGAGATGCCTTGAACACCCTCTGCACGAGGCCCCAAAGGTGGAACACTTCCTGGTCATCCGACCCGCCGACTTCGCCGACGAGAACTAGAACACAAGTGATCAAATATCGTAGGCTTCCCCAAGCCCAAGAGCGCAGCGACATGTGCTGCTGCGAGACGTGATCGATGTCGATCAGACGGTCCTGTCCTGGCGTGCACGACGCACACAGCCTCCGGTCCTGCACAAACTTCTGCACCTGAAGCCACTGGCTAGTGTTCCCCAACGGGAACTCTCGCGCCTCCTCTTCGTCCTCTCCTTCGTCGGCCACCGCCTTGACAATTTCCTGCCGGTCCAAGTCAAGCACAAGTGACACCAACGTGATCACCTCACTCACCGCCTCGGGATACGCACCCTGCTGCTCAAGTGACGGCACAACGCCGCGCTGGCCATCCAAACAGATCTGGTGCTCCGCAGACCACTCTGTCAACCACTGACATAGATCCATCTCCGTCCTCCGTAGACCAACTCCAGGAACGATGCGTGCCTCCAGCCCTGCGACAAGCCGAGTCATCGTCTGCACCCTCGTGCCAGTCTCCATCATCGACTCCACCGTCTCTCTCCAGCCGCCACCCAGGCGTGGAAAGTGGACCACAGCAGTGTCTTCGACCCCAGCTCCCCTCCGGTAAGCCCGACCAGACTCGGGCACAAGCTCCCACTCGTCCTCATCCCGCGATGAAGAACAGCCAGCCATCTCTCTGTCGTTCCTGTTGATGCACGCCAGTGCATCCCAAGGCTTGGTTCTTGGCCACAAGAACATAAGAAGAAAAAAGAGCGCGCAGCGCGATACTGTCTCCTCCCCAGGAAGACCACCGACTCCTTCGTCCACGCCTGGTACCAGACCAGGTCGCACCGCCGTCCCTCTTCTCTCGAAAGAAAGAAAGGACAACCGTCCCTGTGTTGTGTTCGTCCCGAGTATCGCTCCGCTGGAATTCCCGCAGGGAATGAAAGAGGAAGAAGAATTGTCGCCCCCCGCCAACTTCTGGGAGGGCACCAGCCCTCCCTTATGTATCTTCGAAAGTGGGAACCAACTGACCCAGTTGGTGTCCCAAAAGGGTAACGGATTGTGGCCAGCAGGCCACATCCTCATAGGTCAAACAGGTAGGTCCGAAGGACCCACTCTGTCAACGGTCAACGCCCATCTTACAAGTGAATCATACAGAGCTCGCACCAAATGCTCGCTAGATGGGCGTTCTGATTCGTCCAAAGGCCAAATTATTCCCTGTCGTATCCACTTTGGTCAACGAACTTCGTTGACGACGACCCCTTGGCTCGCCGTCGCCTCGTCCGTCTGTTGGTCACGCGCCATGCCACCTTCGGCGTCAGCCACGCTCCCACACTCTGTGTTTGTTGTTGCATATCCATGGTTTCTCTTTGCAGTAGAAAATATGATTTCATCATCTCACTTCCGTGGTTATTCGCCACGTCGCTACGCTCGTGTGGCACAGGGCTGCCGCCCCGTACCCCGCGGTTCCGGAAAAGAAGTACCTCTTTTTAAGGAATTTATCTGCACAAGCAGGGTAAAAGCATGTCTTAGGACACGCATCTTGTAGTTTTTGAAGCTCCACTTCACTAGTGTTTCACCATCTCACGATGTTTCTTGGTGTTTCACACATGTTTTCCATCACTCCGTTCATTGCTGGTTCTACTACTCATTTCATTCATTTGATTTCATCATTCGTTTCACGACACCGGATACCAGATCCGTTGGTCTACAATACGTACTACGCAGAGCTACTTCACAAATTATCCAGCTGACACTGATGCATCATACCATGAATAAGACTAAAGTCCCCCGCGGACTCCTCGTCCGACACAAGACCCAAGTCATGAGATGCCTTGAACACCCTCTGCACGAGGCCCCAAAGGTGGAACACTTCCTGGTCATCCGACCCGCCGACTTCGCCGACGAGAACTAGAACACAAGTGATCAAATATCGTAGGCTTCCCCAAGCCCAAGAGCGCAGCGACATGTGCTGCTGCGAGACGTGATCGATGTCGATCAGACGGTCCTGTCCTGGCGTGCACGACGCACACAGCCTCCGGTCCTGCACAAACTTCTGCACCTGAAGCCACTGGCTAGTGTTCCCCAACGGGAACTCTCGCGCCTCCTCTTCGTCCTCTCCTTCGTCGGCCACCGCCTTGACAATTTCCTGCCGGTCCAAGTCAAGCACAAGTGACACCAACGTGATCACCTCACTCACCGCCT